GATATTGATGTTGGCTTTTATACGACTCTAATTTTCTAGTTACAGACAGCATAAGGATTGGTTGTGGGGCAACAGAGGATAACATAGACCTGAAAACCAAATCTTCTTACTTGGCAGACGATGATAGAGAGCCTGTTTGAGAAAGTGTTCAAAAACACTTATAAACATGTTTCATATAAGTCCTCTTACATGCTAACCTTGTAGTTCATAAATTATGATTAAAAAGTTATTTATAAACTATTCCAAACAGGCCCAGATTCATCAGATGGAGACATTGTACGTTTCAAGGTCATTCATGTCTCTCCAACTGATAACGACATCAACGCATGTCTTGCGAACACAGGCCAAGGAACACCCTTCATTTCATTGTTGGAAGTACTGCCATGGCAGAAGTCTAGGTATGATCACACAGCTTCGATTTTTCTTAGACTTGGACATGAGGTAATAATCATTGATCTTTCGTCCATTACTTCATTAAATTCATAGACGATGTAATAATAACTCTTTCTTAATTAGGCAGTTACCCTGACGATATCCATGAAAGGTCCTGGTTCAATAGAAAAATGGGAAGCCAGTGAGGCTACACAAGAACAAATCTCAGGTCTTCACATGAGATCTTCTGTTACACATTGGGACGCTACTTATTGTGTTAGACAATATGTTATTTTATATGGTGGGGGTAATTGTGAGGTGTGTTTGTTTCTGTTCATGGTATGTCTGTGAGTCAGTTGCTTGGTTCATATAGAAATTAAAGTGCATTAGATGTTAAGTTTCTGCATTTGGCTTGTTTCCAACCACTAAAAACATGTCCATGTTGTGGCACATCATATTAATTACCACTCTTATTCTTATTATAAGTCTACTTGTAGGAGAAAAAATTGGTTCTAAATATGGGCTCAGTTTTGGTGCTAGGCATGATGATGAGCACCAAGAGCTCATCATTTATGCGCACCATTTTAATAAAGTCAAGAATGAGTTCGGGAGCACATTTCATTCTCGTAACAATGATAAGCACGGAGTGCTCATCACAATTTGGACAATCCAGAGTGATTTTAGATGGTTCAGATTGAATTTAAATTTTTTATATATTTTAATCAACTTTTAGTTTTAATAGATATAGAATTTAAAATAAATATAATATCATAACTAACATATCTTTAAAAAAAAATTTATCACTAAAAAAATTATATATTAAACATTTTAAATCTGAACCATCTATGTTAGATTTGAATGGTTTAGATTGTATTACAGTAATGAACACAGAATAAAAATCCGAATGAGTTCCCTCCATTCAATCACCATGCAACGTTGTTCTGTTGGGTAAAGTCAAGGAAGTTCCCTCCATTCAAGGCAAGTTCCTTTTTTTTTTAATTTTTCTTTTTTAATAATATGCAAGTTCCAAATTTTCGCTTCTCTTCTTCTTTGAAGAAAAATCCCACGGCCAGTCTTTAATCAAGGTTTCCTGAAGAAAACTCAAATGTTTCAAGAGAAACCTCCTCCGTTGTTTTTTAAGGGCAGCTTTGGTTTGGATACCAACTCTCCTTTTCATGAGGCAGCCATTCGAGAAAAATTAGACATTTTCTCAATTAAAAAGCAAGTCTCCATCTGCCTCAAAGCACAATCACAGGATGTCATCATCTCCGACTTTCTGCAGCTCTTGCACTTTTACTTTTGATCATTTTAAAGTAGCTGTTTCGGTTTCGCATTCAGTCCTAGCTAACAGTAGTCCTGTTTTTCTAGTGTAATGAACCTTTGAGTTTGTATCTCTATTTATTATGCATTTTGCCTTTCCATAAAAACAAAACAAAGAAAATTTTAATAAGAGTGAATTTAAAAAATTATGTCACTTTAATGCATTCTTTAATTGAAAATGTGTTACAAGTAACTTTTTTTTTTTTTTTTTTGAGTAACAAAGGCAAGCTACAGCTTGTAAAGAAATAGCTAGGCACAAGCGGCGGTCCTAGTTAACAACAGTTACAAGTAACTTTTAATAAGAACAAAAGCAATACATATCTCTGTTTTGGAGTTTGCATAAAAAGTAAATTCCATTGAGGAGCATCACTGTCTTATGGATAGGTCTTGTTCCTGATGGTTTTATCTATATGGATCATGTTTTAGCTAGCATCCACTTGGCTTCGCATTCAATATTCAAGTGTATTGGGAGTTGCATTTGATTTTTACGTCATATACTACTTCTGATTCTTAATTAAAAGCCTTTTAATTTTTATTTTGATTCTAAATATAAGACTCCAAACCATTTTATCTATCATATTTATTCATTTTTTAAAAATAATTCTTATAATAATAGTAGTTCTCACTAATACATTTGATTAATAAGAATATTTTAAGAAAAACAATATCTATTTATTATGAATAACTCATTTAACTAATTTTTATAATTTACTCAAATTAGTCAACTAGCTTTTATATTAAGAATGGAAAATAATACAATACTATGACATATTCAAGTAGCCTAAGCAGTCTTTGAGAGTTCATGTTGAAAAACCAAAACGCAACAAAAATTGTGACAAGTTCAAATATCAATACTAGGAAAAGGTACATTAAACAGAGTGTGGAATTAGATAAGTAGAGAATTTAACCTTTTTTTTTTCTTTAAAAGATCAAAATGATAATATATTAAAAATGATAGAGTTACGAGCTAGATCTAACAGAGAATTTGACTCACTGATCTTAATTTATGATTTCCCATAACTTTTGTATTCCTTGTTCCCGTGAACCGTAATGGACGTTGGAAAATTGGAGCTAGCCGTACGGGTGCATTCTCCCAATGATCTCCCCATTTGCTCTGTCGGCAACAATGTAGACATAACTTTCTTATTCTTGAGGGCCCAATATGTTTTCTTAGAATCAATAAAGATTTGCCAATAGCCTCACGATTTAGGGAAAACGAAGATTCCTTTCCAAGTGAGAAGTTGTAATTAAAATGTTTGCTTCTTTAATTGAAAAAAATAATAATGCAATTCTTTTATCCTTTATCAACAGAAACTGAATTTAATAGAAGAGGTTAATTTCTCATAGTGTGATGAACCAATATTCAAATCTCTATTAAAACAAATGTCTATATTTAACGTCTGATAATATCTCAAACATGATTGCTTCTAATAAGATGATCCTTGTGCCTATTAAAAAATAATTCTTTTTCCTTCAAGTTTTAAACGTTTTTTTTTTTGGTAATGAAAAGTTTAGGTGAGTTGGGTCCCGGGGGCTCACCAGGACCAGGGCATGCCTCCAGGCTCAGAGAGCGCTTATAGAGGTACTTACAGATCGCCCACCAACAAGGTCCTCACATCGGCAGTGGGATTCGAACTCACGACCTTGTGGGTTATGAGCCGATTCCTTATCAACTGGACCAACTCTTGTTGGTAGTTTTAAACATGTTTCTTCACACACACACACACGTATTATTCAAGTGTCGTACCTGTTCTGGTGGTCCACTCCTGCCTTGACATGCATTGAACATGAAAAGGGAATTCAATGCCGTGGTTTCTTGTTCCATCTAAAAAGTTGTCTCTCTCTGAAGTTTTTTCCCCAATCAGTGTCTCAGCAAGCTGTCTCTCATCAGTATTATCACCCCACCTATATGTGTGCGTGTCTACAGTCTACACGCACCTCCATTTTGAATTTTTGATATTATTTATTAAAAATTTTATCTCATAAATTAAAAAAATAATCCACATATAAGAATCATTGTTATTTAATAATTAATATTGTCTTCAACCTTATTTCCTAAGAAAAAAATATTACTCTTCTGTTCTTAATATATGACTTAGTTATTACATTGATTTTAGTTTTAAATGTAAGATCTATTTTTCATATTTATCAATTTTTTAAATTATTTCTACAGATATTTCCTCAATCATAATCAAGTAGGAGAAAGGAGGATATTATACAAGATAATTGTAATGTTTTAAAAAATATGTTATATATCTTATAATTAATTAACTTTTTTAATCTAATTAAATTAGTTAAATAGGTTTTATATCAAGAACCGAAAAAATAATAAAAAAAATGTTTCATGGGACTAAATGGCCCATTAATGTTGTCTTTAAAATTTTAAAATACAAATAATTTTGTTTGCAAAAGTCATATAGCTAAAAGATAAATGGAAAGAAAAGTTGTGTAAACCATAAAATAGAGTTACTTATTACAAGAGGCTATACATTTTAAAATTATTTTGAAGGATATAACAACCGCAAATTTTAAATGTGATATACGACAAGACATTGAGGCATATTATGAAAGTTATAAGAACTTTGAGAATTCTGTGAAATAGATGTATTGAAAAAATAATGTTAAATAGAGTAGCCTTTTAAAGGTAAAACTAAAAATATGTGTGCACAGTCTCTCTTATTCCAATAATTTTATTTCTGGTATATAATATTTCTTTTGGCAATAAATGTGAACTAATTAATGAATTTATTTTAGTTTTAGATATAAAATCTTAATATTATTTTTTGTTAAATTTATAATTTTTAAAAAATGTTCCTATTAATTAGATTGAGTAAAGAAGGATTTTATCCAAGAGGTAATGATTAAAAAAATATTTTAAAAAAATCAAGCTATATTTATTGTAAATAGTTAACTTAACTTTTTTTTTTTAAATATTTATAAATTAGTTGCTTTCCCTTACATGAGTCTTTGAAGCTGATGGACTAATATTAGCCTCCTCAAATATTTTAAAATGTAGTTTAAAAAAAAGGAAAAATCGTTTAAAAAAACTGTTAAAATAAAAAAAAATTGCACACAGGACCGATTCTTAAAAGTTATTATCAAAACTCATATTGATATTGTCATGAGTTCTAATTTATAATTTTTTATTCCAGCGGCTTTCTATGGTTATTTCCCAAAAAGAAAACATTTTAAAAAGTAACGTCGGTTTGGATTCGAACTGGGTAATGGGCCCCACATGGTGGCGTTAAGTCAATCTATGCTCCTCGCAGTGATGGATACGTACTTCGCCAGAACGCGGTGTGTTGGACTCGTTTTCTCAGTTGTGTTTATGAAGCAGTGGGCATTTGAACCGAAAGTGGCAGTGGCAAACAATGAAGATTGCATCAGAATTGACGTTGCTTTTACTTGCTTTCTTCATTCCTCTTCACAACGCAAGCTGGATGGCTTCAGACTCCAAAGTTGCCTCTTCTGATGATTCAGGCAAGTTGCCTCTTCGTCCGCATAATTGTCCCGTACAAGAGCAAAAACACCCACATTTTAGCATTGCACTTTCCCTTGCATTCTTTTAAAATGGTTTCTTTTTTTCTTATTAGTTAACTCGCATCTTCCTCCATTATGTGTTTTCTATATTAAGCTTCTTTAACGAGGCTCTGTTTCTATTTTGACTTGAACATTTGTAGATCACATAGGCATAGATTGTGGGGTGGAGGAGGCGTACCAAGACAGTGAGAGCAACATGTGGTATAAACCAGATTCAGGTTTTGTAGAAACAGGCCAGAATCACAACGTACCATACAACTTCTCCAAATCCCAAATGTCGAAGCAACTTAACACACTGAGAAGTTTTCCAGATGGAAAAAGGAACTGCTATACTCTCACTTCCAGTAGAAACAGCAAGTACATTGTCAGAGCTTTCTTTGCTTATGGAAACTATGACTTGAAGAACAAAAAACCCATTTTTGATTTGTATCTTGGTGTCAATCTCTGGAAGACTATTGAATTTGACGATATCACGTCGTATTATTCTGTTGAGGTTATTCTTGTTGCCTTAGCAGACACCATAAGTGTGTGTCTTGTTAAAACGGGAAAAGGTGTTCCTTTTATTTCGTCCTTGGAATTATGGCTTCTCGGTGATAATATTTATCAAATCTCCAGTTCGATTCCGTTGGATCTCTTGACCCGGTCTACCCCTAGCAAGCCAGGAGACGACAGGTTCATCAGGTACACGTCTGTGTATGACCCTTGGTCAAAATCAAGCATTGAAATACACCACCATGCGAGCGCGCGCGTGTTTTCTCAATTTTATATGAGTTCTATGCTTCCCAGTTCCCACATCAAATCAAGTTACACTTTACATCTTATAAATATTTGTTTTCGACTCTGTTCTCTGTTTGGTAAACGCAGGTTTAAAGATGATACATATGGTCGTGTGTGGTTTAAAAGATCCTTCGGCAGTTCAAGTATAGCCACCACATCAGTAATTATTGACTTAAATGGAACACAAAGTACTAATAACCTGCCGCAACAAGTATTGAAGACTGCAATACTGTCCACGAGCCTGCACCCTACCATGGAAATCTACTCTGATCAACAAACTGATAGTTCCAACGAGTACTTCTGTTACTTTTACTTCTTTGAATTTGATAAGCAAGCAACAAATCAGAAAAGGATCATGAATATTACTTTCAATGATGGTCGCATCCTCTCGGAGCCCATTACTACTCAATATCTGAAGCTACTCACAATTGTTGGGAATATCACGCAAGCAAACCAGCTTCGTATTTCCATCAATCCCACCCCAGAATCTGATTTACCAGCCATGATCAATGCTTTTGAGATTTATAGAGGACTAAAACAACTTAATTCAGAAACTTATCAAGAAGATGGTAACACCCCTCTTTTCCGGATGATTTATTGCATTTGATTACTTGTACCAGAAAGATGCTGATATCTCTTTCTGCATATATACGTATAGAATTCACTGTTGGTTTTTGTATAAAATAACTGTAGGAATAGCAATAGGTTCGTGTTATGTTAAAAATAGTTGGCTTAATAATAGTTGATTTGGTCATGGCTGACTCAATCAATTTTGACTCTAGGTAAATTTACATAAACCCAAATTCTTGTTTTGCTACCCGCGCTTAAATTCTTTAGCGCTTAGTGCTCTTGTTAGGATCACTTTTGAAAGTTTAGGGAAAAATGCATGGAAAGGGAAAAATACTTTTTGTTGGGTAGAAGTTTGACTTGCTATTCTGAAGAAAGAAGTAAAGAGTAGGGCAGCTATAGGATTGCTATAGTCAAAGTCCATGAGTTGGGGGTTGTGAAAGTTACTTTTTGGGGTCTATAAATCTTATCTTCGGCTGAGCAGTAAAAGGGTGTGAAGAATTTGAACTGTGATCTTGGCCCTTGGGGTGGAGAGAGCCAACCTCTCGAAAGTTTGGCAAGTCTATTGGTTCATTGTGTTGTATCTTGTTCTGTGTATCTTGTTTTATTCCTTGTTACTTTGTAATCATCACTTTCATTGTAGCTAATGTATCAGTGTGTGAGAGTCATCTATTCCCTTGTTATTCAGTAAAACCATTATCAATCTCAAGTTTCCCCACTCTTTGTTGTTTATTTCTGATTTTTGTTGTCGTTGTAAGTTTGTTTAGAAGAGGGTCCTATCAGCTTTTTTGTCCTTTCTTTTTTGGCACTCTTCATTCATCAAGCTTAAACTTACTGAACTACTGAAATAGTTATTAATGCTAAAAACAACAGTTGATGCAATTTTTTTTTTTGGCCAACAAAGTTGATGCAATTCAGGGAATCAAAAGTATTTATAACATCATAAATTGGCAAGGAGATCCATGCATTCCAGCTAGTCTTGCTTGGGAAGGGGTCGCTTGCACATCTGATGCCAATCCAAGGGTCACTTCACTGTGAGTACTGCTCTTGTTTTCTTCTGAATCACGCAAGTTTGAAAAGAGATGCTTAACTGTTGAAGATATTAATCTACAGTACTGGCTTCTAAAAGTTATAACTAGATAAGCAATAATATAAGATAAAATAACTTTTTTTTGTCTGCTAATGATAATATATCACTTTGATTCCTGTCATGAGATGTATTTGAAGAACTGGTCATTGATAAAAATCGTATGTCCTTGTTCTATTCTTATAACTAATCCTACACATTAGAATAAGTCTAATTATTGTTATTGATGATGATGATGGTATCATTTTGTTGTTAATTAGATCCTCAATCTTAATGACCATGATATTGCGGGAAAAGTTCTTAGATATATCTACCAAACCAATTATGAATTGGCATGTGTACAAGCTGGATGAATTTTCCAGTAGAACTCATCTTTGATATGCTTATATTTTTATTAATAATTTTCTAGATCTGTCCATCATTTTTGAACAATATACAATATCTCGTGTTGCAATACATTTCAGCTTCTGCTTTTCTCTTATTCGTATGTTTAATAATGGCAAGAAAATGATTCATTCTGCAATTCAAGCAGGAACTTGAGTTCAAGGGGACTAACAGGGAGGATAGATGATTCATTTTCAAAATTCATTAAACTGAGGTCCTTGTAAGTTTTAGTGTCTTTGACACATACCTTGTAAATCCTCATTTTTCTTTATATCCACAAGGCTTCAGAGGCTATCAACTTGCAAAGTTTTCACTCTGCTTATCTAAATGATAACTTTTATGCAGGGATTTATCATATAACAACCTGACAGGAGAAGTGCCTGAATATTTTGCACAGTTACCAGATTTGAAAGTCCTGTAAGTTAAGATCATTTAGCATTCCCATCGTAATTTCCTCAGCCATGTCCTTCCACCATATTTATCATAAAGTCTCTACAGTAATTTAACAGGGAATCAGCTCACAGGTTCAATCCCCAAGCCACTAAGGCTGAAGTCCGAAGCCTCTTTGTCTTTGAGGTTTCTTTCTCTTCTTTAAGTAAATCTACTATAACCAAGAAGTTTCTTGTCCAAATTTTGGCGTTTCTTTTCCTACATTTGACTTGTCATTTGATCTTATAAACATGAGTAGTCTTGCCGTGATGTAGCTCCATTATTTGATACCAATGCCAAATTATGGTTTCTGAGGTTTAAATTATTAGTCTAATTACTTAATGGTATTTGACACTCTTGCATATTAAGCTGTGTTTTTATTTTGGGCTAGTTTGGAAGGAAATCCGGGCCTTTGTCTGGCTGAATCATGTGGAACAAAGAAGCATGCTACCCTCCTCATTGCATGTATAGCAGCATCCATAGCGGTTTTAATAATGACCGTCCTTATTTATCTGATGAACATGAGAATCAAAAGGAAGAAGCAAGGAGGTAATTTCCTGCTTCTTATATCTTTGGCAGTGTTTGAGGCAATAATTTTTTTTATATCATGGTTTTATGAACTGGTATTCCTTATAGTCCACCTTCATTAAACAAGCTTGATTCAATATCAAAAGAAATCCTATTTATCATAGAACAGAGTTTTCTTTCTCTTCTCATTGTAGCCTTTGAACTTGTTTCACAAATTAATGTTCCATCTATGCTGGGATATAGTCATTACAGTTCCAATTGTCTATCAGCTTTTCCGGATTTTATAAGGGAAAAGAAAGAGACAAGACTTAAGAATCTACGTATCCGTTTTTTTTTTTTTTGAAAGAAATATTGTGAACTGTGTGGTTATGGTTATTTACATTGCTTCTGTGAATGTGATGTTTATAGCATTTAAGAAAGAAGGGCGGGAGAATTCAAAGAAACAAGTATTTTCTCTGAGAGAGGTTACTAGAATTACCAGTAACTTCAAAACTGTTATTGGGAAAGGTGGGTTTGGAGAAGTTTACCTTGGCACAGTGCAAGATGGTAAAGAAGTTGCAGTGAAGTTACTTTCTCAGACATCAAGGCAAGGATACAGGGAGTTTCACTCAGAGGTTTGATGCCACAATCATATGCCTGAGGCAATTTTCGTTTATCACTTTTTCTTTGTCCCCATAGTTTTGTTTAGAAAACAAAGACTTCAGAATTTTCAGCATCTTCCTTAAATTCATGATGTTAAACTTCAAACGGCAGGTAGATTTGTTGACTTTCGTTCATCATAAAAACTTGGTTTCTTTTATGGGGTACTGTGAAGAAGGTGATGTGAAAGCATTGATTTATGAATATATGGCAAAGGGGAATCTGCAACAGCTGTTGTCAGGTTAGTTTATGTTGTCACCAAAAGACAAGAACTTCGTATAAGCTTTCTACTTTGCTATGTTGAAGAGAAATTCTTGATGTTACCTGTTGAAGATTATTTTTTATGCCAATGTAGATGCCTGATTTCCTTTTTTTTTCTTTTGAAAAGGATTTAAGAAAAGTATTTTGGTTTGGAAGAGAAATAAATTACTACCTCCAATCCTTAATATAAGAGCTAGTTGGGAAGTTAAATTTGATCCTAAATATAAGATTTCAATATATTTTACCTCTCATCTTTTGTCGAAATATCCCTATTGATTGCAAGGAGCTCCCACCAAGGGACAATTCTAATCATGTAATGGAAATGATTGAAAGAGGATAGTTTAGGGAGATCAACACACATTTGTGACAAATAACCAATTTAACTAATTTTCTTAATATTCCTAAATTAGTTATTCAGCTCTTATATTAAGGACTGGAGATAATATACAATAAGGGATGTAAGTTTTTGTTGAAGACGTGGTTTGATTTACATATACTTTGTTTTCTGCACTCTGCAGATGAAAATACAACTGTTTTGAAGTGGTTTGATAGACTTCAAATTGCCCTGGATGTTGCATTTGGTATGCGAAACCTCACATGTACTTTCTGTTAATGGCTTCTATTTTCCTAGTCTTCTCACTAATCATCTCTATACTAACATACTAAAGGTGTATGGGTGTCTTGATGGAAATGCAGGATTGGAGTATTTGCATTATGGTATCAAGCCTCCCATAGTTCACAGGGACTTGAAGACCTCCAATATTTTGTTGGATGAGAACATGCAAGCTAAAATTTCTGACTTCGGACTGTGTAGATCTTTTGAAAATGAACATGATAGTCATATATCAACTAGACCAGCTGGCACATTGGGTTATCTTGATCCTGAGTAAGCATTGTAGATTACAAATTTTTACCAAATATCTTGTTTTATACATGAAATCTCTGCAGGAGTCTCATCATTTTGTGGCTTAATAAACTGCAGCAGCATGACACCCACACCCACACACGCATATATATCAGAAACAAAGTTTTGAGACTTTAGTTAGAATCCCAGTGCTTTCAACCATTTACCTAGTGCTAAAGATAGGAGCTCAAAGCATAGATTCGCCTATCCTCTTGGTAAATTTCATATGAAATGAAGAAAATAAAGATCATACTATTGACTCTTATTTCATATGTAGATTTCGAAGCTCTGGAAATTTGAATAGAAAGAGTGATGTTTACAGCTTTGGGATAATTCTGCTTGAGCTAATCACTGGACAACCTGCAATGAAACCAGAATCACTTGGAATCAAGATACAATTACTTGATTGGGTTAATCCTAAACTTAACAATGGAGATATTGACTCCATAGTTGATCCAAGGTTAGAAGGACAGTACAATAGAAGTTCAGCGTGGAAACTTGTAGAAATTGCCATGTCCTGCGCCCAACCTACTGCAATCCAAAGGCCTGAGATAAGTGAAGTGTTGACTGAGCTAAAGGACTGTTTGGCTTCAGAAATAAGCCATGAAAGATCAGAGAGCAGCATGAGAAGGTCCAGGAATAATTCACTGGAAACAAGTTCTTTGAATCCTTTTCAGATTGATTCATCATTAGGCCCACATGCTAGATAAGCTTGTTTAGAATTTCCAATTATGAAGTCTTGAGTGTGTTGTACAGTGGACAATAGACTGTTTTTTGTTGGTTCTCAGTTTGTAATGGCATTTTCGGCTTCATGGTAGACTAATCCCCTGCGCTTAATTTTCTTTCAAACCACATGAAGTTCAAAATGCTAAATCAATTATGTTTAGGGAAGGCGATGATCAATAGAGACTTCTGAAGATATTATTGAACATACGAAGTTGATTACCAACAAAGAGTGAGATATTTCTCTTAATTTTATGCCCAGGCTAGGAGGCAGGTTTTTGGACGTATTGCTTAGCAATATTAATACAGGATTTTAAAAAAAAAAAATTCAACTTGATCGAGCGCCTTACCAAATGCTTTAATAACACCAAATTAAATTGATGCCAACTTAATTCTGAGTTGGCAACTAATTGTGCCCAGAATTCAATTAATTTATTTGAAACAATTTTTTTTTTAATCGACCTTTCTCACCTTCTAGGTATTCTAACATTTTAAACACCAACATGTAATTATATTACTATTCTTCCCTGCCCACCTACTAACCTCATATGAGTTGACATTTTACTCAATTATAATTACAATTAAACATGCAAGCAAATGTCGATTAGCACCAAATAATTAGTCTTTCAACAGCACTACTTGAGATTTGAGATTCTCAATGAGAAATTATTTGCGGATGACTTGTTGGTAAGCATCATAAATGTGTGTGAAAGTCTGAAAGATGAGTGATGAAAAAAAGGGGGCAATTTTTATAGGGGGAAAAATCATTTTTGTTGGCTGTGAAATGATAAAGCGAAATAGAACAAGAGAGAAAGTTAGAAGAAGAGAGCGAGAAAAGAATTTCTTATATTTTGATGGATTAAATACAACTGAGAAGAAATAAAGATATGAATATACAACTTTAATCTAATCAAAATCTACAAACTTAATGATAATAGGAGATACTCTGAGATGATTAACAAACTAAAAGTTCTTTCTTACATAATACTCGTAACTGTCTGGAGCGGATTCAATAAAATATGAATTATTCCAATAATCAATGTTGTAGAGTGAGTTTTGTACATAAATGGCATTATATTATTAGGATTTTATATTATAGAGTGACTTTTACTCTTTTGTCCTATGGATGCGTGAGTTGTCAGGCTGAGAATTTGAGGAAGTCAGAGGTACCACTACTTATTGAGTCAAGTCAATCTAAATTAATGGGGACTTCATCCCAAAGAGCTTCCTTCTTCTTTGAGCCCGTTCTATTATACCATTTATATGTGCGTCTAGGTGATCGAAACTGGCAGTGTCAAACATGAACATTGCATCTGAATGGATGCTTCTTTTCCTTGCTTTCTTCATTCCTCTTCAACTCCCAAGCTTGTTAGCCTCTACTGATACAGGTAGTTTAAAAAAAAAAAAACAATTTTACTTTTCACCATTTTTCTTATGGTATACTCACATTTTCCACAATGAACTGAATCTAGTCCCCAGGATCATATAACTCTCAGTCTGGTTACTTTAGCTTCTTTCTGTAATAATCTTGGTATCGCATTAATGGTTTTGGTCATTCTGTTGAACTTGAACATTTATAGGTTACATAAACATAGATTGTGGGGCAGAGGAGGCCTACACTGACAGTGACAGCAATATTTGGTACCAAACAGATTCAGGCTTTGTAGAAACAGGCAAGAATCACAAATTACCCTCAGGTTACAGCTTCGATCAACCCCAAATGTCGAAGCAGCTCAACACATTGAGAAGCTTCCCGGACGGAGTTAGGAACTGCTATACCCTCACTCCCAAACAGGGTAAAAACAACAAGTATCTAGTTAGAGCTTTCTTTGCTTACAGAAACTACGACTTGAAGCACACGCCACCTTCTTTTGATGTGTATCTTGGCGTGAATCATTGGAACACTATTGAGTTTGGGGATCTCTACATGTATTTTCCCATTGAAGTCACTCATTTTGCTTTGTCAGATACCATAAGTGTGTGTCTTGTGAACATTGGAAAAGGGGTTCCTTTCATTTCGTCCTTGGAACTCTGGCTTCTTACTGATTCTACTTATCGAACCTCCAGTTCGTTTCCGCTGGATATCTTGACTCGGTCAACCTTTAGCATGTCTGAAGATACCTTGTTCGTCAGGTACCTTTTTCATCTGTTTAAAAAACAAAATTATAAGTGAACTGGTGAGGGTGGTAGGAAGGTTGTGAAAAAGTTTAAATTTTTGCTTCTGACACTGTTCCGCACATTCAGGTTTGAAGATGATGTGTATGATCGTGTGTGGTTTAACAGAATAGTCGGCAATTCAAAGAAAATATCCACATCAGCAACTATTGATTCTTATGGAATAGAAAATACTAACAAGCTGCCATCACAAGTATTGAAGACTGCAATACAGTCTCTGAGTCTCAACTCTTCCTTGGAAATCTACTTCAATAACCATACTGATAGTTCACACGTGTATTATATCAACCTTTACTTCTTTGAATTTGATCAGCGTGTAACAACTCAGAAAAGGATCGTGGATGTTACTTTCAATGATAAAAGCATCCTCACAGATCCCTTTACTACACAACATCTGAAGCTCGTCACAATTGTTCAGAATATCACACAAGCAGACCATCTTCGTATTTCGATCAAAGCCACCCCAGAATCTGATTTGCCAGCCATGATCAATGCCTTTGAGGTTTATAGAGTACTAAGCCTGACTAATTCAGCAACTTATCAAGAGGATGGTAATTTATTTTTCTTTTATTGCCTGATTCACTGCATTTACGTATATCTGAATGGACAATGATGTCACTTTTTCTGCATATATATAGCACAAGCCTCCTTTTGTACAGGGATGAAAATGGATGGTTACTAGGCTCAACAATAGTTGTATGGGTCATGGTTAACTAATTTTGACTCTATCTGAATTCACATAAACCCAGCTACATAATTCTTTTTGTCGTTCCTTCATTGGCACTCTTCTTTCATATTGCTTAAATTTGCTGAAAGTAATGAAATTGTTGTTAATGATGAAAACAACAGCTGATACTATTCTGAAAATCAAACATATTTATGGTATCCCCATCATAAATTGGCAAGGGGACCCATGCATTCCAAACCACTTTGCTTGGGAAGAGCTTACTTGCAGCTCTGATGGCACTCCAAGGATTATTTCACTGTGAGTACTGCTCCTCTCTTCTTTGAAGCATCTAAGATTGAAAGAGATGCATAACCATTGAAACTCTAAAAGAAAGTACTGGCTTCCAAAAGTTATGACTAGATATACAATGACATATGATGAAATAATTATACCATTTTTAGCAAAAGATGATATATCACTTTGCTTTTAATTAATTAGACCCACAATCTTAATGACTACAGTATTGGAGGGACATTTCTTAAATAGATCTGGTTTATAAAAGATATATGTACCAAACTAGTTATGAATATGCCGGATGAATTTTTCAATGGAACCCATCTTTGAGATGCTTATATTTTTCTTAATAATTTTCTTGATCTCTGTGTCCCATCTCCTATAGCAATACATTTTCAGCTCTTGCTTCTTGATACATACCAGACTAGTTATGTTTATAATGGCAAGAAGATCATTCCTTCTAGAATTCTGACAGGAACTTGAGCTCAAGGGGACTAACAGGGCCGATAGATGTTTCCTTTTCAAGATTCTCTGAACTACAGTCCTTGTAAGTTCTAGTGCTTTTTTTGACGCATGCCTTCATGGTTCATCTGACAGGCCTTCATCTAAATAACAAATCTCATGTAGGGACTTATCATACAACAAACTGACTGGAGAAGTACCAGAATTTCTTGCACAGCTATCAAATTTGAAATTCCTGTAAGTTAACATCTTTTACCATTCCCACAGTAACTTCCTTAACCATTTCCTTCCTGCATGTGCATCACAAGTCTGTGCAGTAATTTGACAGGGAATCAGCTCACAGGTTCAATCCCCAAATCACTGTTGCTTAAGTCAAATACCACTTTGTCATTAAGGTTTGTTTATTTTCTTTTAAGTAATTCTAATACAATCAAACAGTTTCTTCCTGGAATTAGCTGTCTTGGCCAGTGTAGTTTCCATTATGGGATATCGATGCCAAATTGCGGTTTCTGATGTCCCAATCACTAACCTAATTAGGCGATGACGTTTGACACTTTAAATTTTTTTCCCCCTTTTCTTGGCTAGATTGGAAAGAAATCCAGGTCTTTGTCTGGCCAGATCATGCAAGACAAAGAAGAATCTTGTTCCATTAATTGCATCTATTGCAGCATCCGTGGCAGTTCTAGTAATGATTGTCCTTACTTTCCTGATGATCCGGAGAATCAAAAAGAAAAACGGAGGTATATATTTTCCTTCTTTTTCAATCTTTCACAGTCCCTGCTGTAACCATTATTTTGTTTCAATCATTTCTCTGTGAGCTTGTAGTCCATTCATTTAACATGATTGAATTCAATATCAAAAGAAATATAATTTACCAAAGAACTGCATTTTTTTAAACTTGGCCTTACAACTTAATGTCCTGTTTGTGCTGGGATGTAGTCATTACAGTTTCAATTTCTTAAGAGTTCACTGAGGAAAAGAAAGAGACAAGATTAAGGGTCGACATTTCCATTTTGAAAGCTCAAATATATATATATATATATATATATATATTTGGAGAAATATCGTGAATGGTATGACCATAATTACTTACATTGCCGCTGTGATGTTTGCAGTATCTAAGAAAGATTGGCAAGAGAAATCAGACAAATACGTATTTTCTTTAAGGGATGTTAATAGAATTACCAATAACTTCAAAACTAAAATTGGAAAAGGAGGATTTGGAGAAGTTTACCTTGGTACTATGCAAGATGGTAGAGATGTTGCTGTCAAGCTACTTTCTCAGACATCAAGGCAAGGGGATAGGGAGTTTCACTCGGAGGTTTGACGTGACGATCACAAACCTTAAAAGGAGTTCATTCTATCAGATTTTCCCTTTCCTTCGTATTTTTGTCTATCGGGCAAACGCTTGAGAATTTTCAACGTTTTCCCTAAATGCATAAAGTTAACTTCCAACTGCAGGTAAATTTGTTGACTATCGTTCACCATAAAAACCTGGTTTCTTTTGTGGGGTATTGTGACGAAGGTGACGTGAAAGCATTGATCTATGAATATATGGACCAGGGGAATCTGCAAGGGCTATTGTCAGGTTAGTTATTTAGTGATTAAAAGACAAAAAACCTTTGTTTGGGCTTTCTTGATAAGAGAAATGCATCAGATTACGTGGCTTGAAAATTATTTATGTTGATAAAGATGCTTTCTTTCTTTATTTTGAATGAACTCAAGAAAAATGTTCTGGTTTGGAAGTGTGATATTGTAAGAGATGGAAGCTTTCCCTGAAGACTTGGTTTGATAGTAATGTATGCTTTGTTTTCTGAACTCAGCAGGTAGAAATCCAAATGTCTTGAAGTGGTCAGAAAGACTTCAAATTGCTGTGGATGTTGCACTTGGTATGTGAATCCTCACTCTTCTTCATGGCTTCTATATTTTCCCTGTCTTCTCATCAATCATCTCTAATCAGATAAAGGTGTGTGTGGTGCTTAATGGAAATCAGGATTGGACTATTCGCATAATGGTATTAGGCCACCAGTAGTTCATAGAGACTTGAAGACTTCCAATATTTTGTTGAATAAAAAGATGCAAGGCAAGATTTCTGATTTTGGACTCTGTAGACCTTTCATAAATGAAAATGACGCTCATATATCAACCATACCAGCAGGCACATTTGGCTATCTTGATCCCGAGTAAGTAGCATAGTTTCAAAGTTTCATTAAATTTAATATCATGATAGTCAATTGCAGATAAAATCTAGTCACCTATCCTCTAAGTAAATTTCATATAATGGTTAAGAATGAGATAACGAGGATTGAACTTTTGACCCCTTATTTTATCTGTAGATTTCAAAGAACTGGAAAGTTGAACAAAAAGAGTGATGTCTACAGTTTTGGGGTAATTTTGCTGGAGCTGATCACAGGGCAACGTCCTATAAAAGAAGAGGCATCACTTGAAAACAAGAGTCACTTGCTTCATTGGGTTAATCGTAAACTTAAGAATGGAGATATTAAATCTATAGTTGATCCAAGGTTACAAGGAGAATATAATACAAGTTCAGCTTGGAAATTTATAGAGACTGCTATGGGCTGCGTTCCACCTAAAGCGATCCAAAGGCCTGACATTAGTGAAGTATTAAGTGAGCTGAAGATCTGTTTAAACTTGAACCAACAACAGACCCATACTCGTGAAAGATCAGAGACAGAGAGCAGCAGAAGAAATCCCAACAATTCATTGGATATGGGCTCTCTGAACTCACTGGGTATTGAATCAACAGCAGGCCCATATGCTAGATAAGTTTATTTATAATTTAATTATTAAGTCTCATCTTTCGAGTGTAAAAACTTGCTTCGAGTCGACTGTTTGTTTCTTATCAGATTTTTAATTTTTTTTACTGATATGTTTGACTTAATAAGATTAATCACTGCAGAATTGTCTTTCAAAAAAATAGTTAAGAGTTAATTCAATTATCAAATCAAAATAATAAAATTACACTACTAACTCATCTGGCTAATTTTAACCAACTCTTTTACCAACGTGATTCAACTAATTGATTTTTATTAAAGAATAGAGAGACTAACTTTTCCCCCCTCAAATATACCTTTTACATAGGAGAGAGCAGGGAAAATAAGAGATTAACAAAGAAAATTTGATATAAATTGGAAAAGACTCAATGTGACAATGTCCAAGGTACCGTTGTCAAGGGACTAAAAGTAGTTGAAAAGACTAAATTAGAATAACTTTATGATGCTTTTCTTCCTACTATTTACTTATTTTCCTTATTCAGCAGTCTATATTTACACAAACACACACTCTCCCCTTTATTGGGTACTCGAATTAATGGCACAAGTTTTCGTATAGACTCCCACCATTCTCACCAAATACATTTATATACATTCCATCTACGTGCATATCCATGCAACCAATTAAGACCTATATTTTTCAACACATAAGACGCCTAAATGCAGAAAACAATTTATTCAATCCTTTTCGCGGTAGTGTTTGGCATATTCCATCACATTGGGAAGATAAAATTTAAAAGGTAAACAAGTATCTATCTTCCAGACAATATACTGAAGTCTGAATCAAATTGCAAAGCACTCGTACTCATGGAACTGCTTGAATTGGTGGGTTGGTCGCTGGTCACTTCCTTGCTCATCTCCAATTCCAAACATCCCCTTAGTTCATAAACTACTTGACTTATATCAGGCCTTTGACTTGCAGTTGGTGCAGTGCATGACATGGCTACCTGTAGGAATTTCCCAGCCGAATCAACACTATATTTTCCTTGGACCCTTGAGTCAATAATGGACTTGATATTCTCGTTTTTAACTTTAGGGGTAACCCATTGAAGCAGGAAAGTGAAGGTATTGTTTGGTTGCCTTTTCGCTGCTGGTTGTCCAGTGATTAGCTCTAGCAGAATTATTCCAAAACTATAAATATCACTTCCTTTTGTAAGGTTGCCAGAACTTTGAAACCTGTAAAAATTTAACATCCACATTATGGAAGCAGAAGATTTCAACAGAATTAGTTTAGTTTATTTGTACATCAAAAACAAAATGAGCCTGATTAGTCTTCCAATCCAAATAATGTTCTTTACAAATTCTCTCTGTATTGCCTTGATTTTCTTGAACGCACGCAAACCTTAAAACTAATTTGATGGGATTCTTAGCTGAAGAATATATATATATATATATATATATATATTATTAATGAAGTGCTTACTCGGGATCAAGATAACCAATTGTCCCAGCTGGACGAGTTGAGACATGGCTATCGATATCATTTGCAAATGCTCTAGACAATCCAAAATCAGCAATCTTAGCTTCCATATTTTCATCTAACAAAATGTTAGTAGTCTTCAAGTCTCTATGTACTATTGCTGGCTTACAACCATCATGCAAATATTCTAATCCTGCAATTTCATTCATTGCATAACCAAACAAATTATGTGTGGCAGAATTAGATCAAAACAAAACTTTATAATTTCCATATATACGAATTGAAAATTCAATCATGTAACTCAAAAAGGTTAATGTATGGATAGTTTTGCTTACCACGTGCTGCATCTAGTGCAATTTGAAGCCTGTTCTTCCATTTCAAAGCATGCCTGTTGTTACCTATATATAAAATAGTATAATGAGATTTCTTCTATATATACCTTCAAATGTTGCTCAATCAATTAATACCGTGTTATGCATAGAAAATATCTAGTCTTGCTTTTTAATTTGAAGCAAGATTTCATACCCGACAAGTGTTGACGGAGGTCACCATTAGCCATATACTCATAAATTAATGCCCTTGCACCAGTTTCTTTGCAATACCCAATCAGAGAGACCAAGTGTCTATGATGAACAACCATCAAGAGTTCTACCTATAACTTAGATGTAACTTTATCAACTCTATGTGAATCAGATGATAGTGAACAAAATATTTTTCTAACAATTGTGTCATAAAACAGGAATATAATTTGAACTAACCTCTGATCGAAATTCTCTATGACCTTGCACTGATGATTGAGAAAGTAATTTTACTGCAACTTGAGTATCATTCTTAAGAGTGCCTAAATAAACCTTTCCAAATCCTCCTTCTCCAATTAAGTTCTGTGAGTTATTAGTGATCTCAAGAACGTTAGAGTAAGAAAATGCTTTACTTCTTAATTTTGATGATTCATGCCTAGTAAAATTCCCTGCAAAAAGATATATCAATAGTGTTAGAAATGTGGACCTTGGCATTCAGATGTTTTCTTTAGCATATCAAATGGAATTAGTGGATTCCAACATGAAAGAGAGTTCACATAATCTTGTGCAAACCTTTCAGTCTTCTTATCCTAAAGATCCATATTCCAAGCAAAACCAAGATTACAACGATCAAAGCAGAGACAGAGGGTATCAGGGGAATAGCGAACTTATGTTTTTTGCATCGAGCCGTCAAGCAAAGATCAGGGTTACCATCCAAACTGAAAGATAATCAAATAATAAGTTAATTAGTATTATCATAGACTTGTCAATTTTACTGATGATCATGTCAGATCAAATAATTATAAATCGTGTCCAGTTACCTTAAAACGAAATAAAATTGTCCTACCATCATTGAAACACAAACAGTTTTATCATATTAAATTAATGTTGACCAACTGATTTTTCTTCAATTTAAAAAAAAAAATAAAAGGCTCTTAAAGCTAAGTAACTATGATAGATAAACAATGAGAAACCTCATTTCCAAATCTGACTTCTCCTTCAGAATATTCGGAATTGAACCAGTAAGCTCGTTGCCTCTCAAATTACTGCAAGAAAGTCATTGTTGAAATATATTCACTTATTAGGTGATCTACAAGTTATCATGGTACATATGGACTATTAGTAATCGAAATCCTACACCAACAACTTACAGGACTTTCAACTTCGGCAATTTAGCTAGAAATTCTGGTATTGTTCCTGATAAGTTATTATCTGACAAATCCCTGAAACAGCAAAAACATCATTTTACATGGTGAAATTCTTAGACTGAAGATGTGGTCATAATTAAGCACTATATACTTACAGGGACTCTAACTCCGTAAGTTCTGAGAATGAAATACTTATGTGTCCTGTTAACTTGCTCGTGCTCAAGTTTCTGCTTGGAATAATTCGAACATGTGGTCAAAACATACTAAGATAGGGTGATTATAAAATTTTCTCAAGTATAGCTTCTTTCTTATTAATGGCTAATGTTGTTGGAAATATCGGAGAACATTAATTATTAGGTTGAGACATGCCCAAGAGATTCCATCTAAGGATAGACAGGTCACAAAACAGAGCACATAAATGCTACGTAACCTAAGTTAAGAAACAAAGAGCAGAGTTAGGTTCTTACCAACATGTTGGACTTAAAGTTAGGAAACATGATGCTTACTTGGTCAACATTTGACTAAGTCAATAAAGTATGTTTACTAATTTTAATTTGAAATTATTTTAAAAATAAAATGAATAATTGAGACAGGACTACTAAATCTTTACAAAACGACTAAAAGTATACTTGGCAATATAAATTAACAAATCTTTCATCAAAAAGGGAAAAAAGGACAAGAATAAGATCAAATTAAATTGACCCCATCTACTCAAGTTTACATTTATCAAATCTTTTGAAGCCAGAAGTGGAACTGATCAAACCTTATGACTTTGGGAATCAAACCTTGTGATTTTAATTCAAGAAGTGAAATACTTACAATGAGGTGATCCTTGCGTAAGAGTGGCTGGTGCCAGAACTGCACATAAGTCCCTCCCATGCGTAATTGGGAATACATGGGTCAGCTTGCCAATCCAATTTAGAGATTTTGTATGCGATTTTGATGTCCCAGATGGCATCCACTATTTTTACAGATAATAAATATGTTCTCAGAAGTTGAAGCCAAAACGTGCACACACTGAAATGATATAAGATATAGCAGGAAACAATTCAAACAAGGAAAACTGATCTGATATACCGTCTCTTTGGTCTGTTGGTAAAGTTAGAGGTGATTTAATTGATAGACCTCGAATGCATTGAGGATTGGAGGCGCAGCAGATTCTGATGTTGCACTTATGCTGAAACGAAGACAACTTTGATTTGTAGCTGCAGAAACGGTCTGCGGCTTCAGGTATTCAAGAGTTATGGGCTTTGGGAGGAATTTTTCATCGTTAACAGTAATATCGATCACTCTTTTCTGCCCAAGGGGAAGCTTCTCAATTTCAACAAAATGAAAATAGACGAAATATGTGAAAGAATATTGAAATAGACCGCCCCCAGAAGAACCACAGTCAAAGTTTAAAGGAGAGGAGCGATTCGATGATTTGGCTGCAGATAGTAGAACTCCTGCTGGTAATCTGTAAGGATCAATTGTTCTCTGGGGATCAATATCCACAGATTTATTGAACACATGCCAATCTGTCAAGTTCAACTTGTTGTCCCCCCCCACATACGATCATAGATGTCATCCATGTACCTACATGTTCACATTATTACATAATTGAATATCAGAATTGCTCCCATGTAAAAGCAGAACATAAAAATCATAAGAGCTGGACAATGAAAATGTGGAAAACACAACATGTTATAGAATATATGTGCTGGTTTTGATTTGTTGTTTTTTCAGAATAATTTTCGATCTGAAAATTTAAAAAGGAAATTGTCTGAAAACGCGTTTTGACTTCGGGAAAACAAAACAAAATTAAAAGTTGTCCTTTGAACAAAAAGTAAAAAACATAACATCATTGTGATGCCTCCTTACCTTCTGTTCTGCAACATTATAAAATAGTGGGGAAATATCATGTACATTAAGAACAATTGTGTTTACAATAATATTCTTTTATCTTATTTCGCTCGTAAATGTTCTTTAAACAAATTATTCAAACTTTTTTTTGGCAATTTTTTGTTTTCAAAACTTGTTCTAAAAAAAAAAGCTTGCTGCAGAATTGTTTGAAGAACATAAAAAAAAAAAAGATAATAGAATCAAGCAAACCCTAAAAATTAGAGTCACCTGATGTATAGTGATGTATTATTACTAACGTAGCCAACATTAACTCTCGCTTCAAGAACTAAAAGTGATTGAGAAGGGGAGGGAGGGTAGTTGTATAAATAGAATTGTTGAGAGGGGTCGTAGTTCCAATGTAGAAATGAAAGGCATTCCTTTGCCTGACTTGACAAGGCAAACATGGATGGTGTCAGTCGTGGGAGTGTGGATGATCTCCGTAAAATAAGAATTTTTAATATCGGACAAGCATTTGTCCAATAATTGACACCCAGGTATAAGTCGAAACAGGGAGTTTGATTTTTGCCATCATAATTTCCATATGAGAAGAAAGCTCGGATGAGGTAACTTTGGTTTTTGCCTTGTTTTGGTTTCAGAGTGTAGCAATTCCTTCTTCCTTCAGGGAAAACTTCTTAGTGTCTGCAGTTGTCTCCCCAAATAAGGATGAAATACGTCATATCTCTCATCAGGTGCCACCATAGTATTAGACCCTGTCTCTAC